CCTCATCGTCATTCTGCCTTGTCGCATCCATATCCATCATTCTCCCATATCTCTTGGTCTTTATCGTTTATTTTTTTATATCTATATACGTTTGCCTATAGTTTACATTTTGGAGGAATTGTGACCGCTATTCGCAAACCGCGTTTTAACCTGCGAATTGTCGTGCGATTTTCTTGTCCGTATGATAAAGCATTGAGTTTCGGTGTCTCCGGCAACCCAGCCGACTGCTCTGGGGTTAGATTTTGGAAAAAATGCGACTGACGATAGATTGCGTGATGTGCTAGTTAATGAAATTTTAACAAAGAGATTTACGCGCGGATGAATTTATATAATAATAATGGTAATGATATTAATAAAGGAATTTGTTCATCTTACGGGATCGAGGTGAAATTGCGCAATTACTTGATGTAATTATGGATCATAGCCGAATGGCTTTTTGGTACAGTTTAATTAATAAAATTTGATTAAACTGGCTTCTGTTGTGAATGCTTTCAATTACATAGCGAGTGTACTATGGTATAATTGTATGTTTATGCGAGAGAGATGAAATTTTGTTTTCTGTTATTATTAACTTACGACGTAGCAATTTTGGGAATTGATTAAAAAAAAAGAGAGTGATGGTAATAATAAAAAGATCTTTAGGTTTATTTTACAGTTGATTTATAATTTCGATTTTTTTTTTTTTGTATATCAAATGAAACATAATTTTACGCGACCATGCAAATTTTACCGATAAACAAAAGTTAGTGTAATAATTATTTCCGTGTTTAATGTATAATTTTAATCGACGTGTATGAAATCTGCTTATCTCGGTGCTTTTCCAATGTTCCATTTGACAAATAAGTCCGTGAGCCTTGACCGTGAACGCACTAAGTACTACAGACTGTATAACTATATTTCAAAACACACAGCAGAGTGAAAAGTATGTATATGAATGTAAAGAAGGTGGGAGAAAAAGCTGAAGAGAGGGTAAGAGAAGATAAAAAGAAAGAGAGAGATAGCCAGATATTTTTGTAAAAATGAAAAAAAAGAGTGATAACAAAATTTGAAAATTTTGCCGAATTGCCAAATTTGGTGAAAAATATTTGTATTCAATAAAAACATTGAAATATTGATATAAATGTTTATTTTACAAAAATTCAAAGTAATTCCTATAATTGTAAATGCAAGCTTGATAAAAAGGAACAGCTTAGAATCGTTCAGATCGTTTGAACCAACGTGAACCAGATCTCTTTGAGGTTAGGTAATGCGGCTTGATTATCCAGTCGAAATATCGAGTTTGATCTCACAAGCTGGTGAAAGTAGTTGCGTACGTGTCCAAGCCGTTTCTTTCGGGCGCGGCCATCATATAGATCATAGTAAGTAAGTGAAAGATAATTTTAACCTGCGTCTTCCGGGAGACGTTGGTTACATTTGATTTTGACTTGACTTACTTCTGCTGTTGTTAAAAAAATGTGTCCGATAGACACTCAGCAAATTCGTGTAGCTTTCGGTATGGCTGTTCAATACGAAGACAATTTTAACTACGGGGAAGCTCAGTGCATCGTGCACGTTGAATCTCGAAGCTGCGATAAGTGATTGCGTCAACGCGGAAGAGCCTAGATTTTGATCGGCCACGTAATGCGTAACACGGGACGCGTAATGCTCCTTGGAAAATTGATCGACTTGCTCGAAGCCGTCTCGGTTCGATATATTGATCTTTGGAATTTATTTGTCTTGTTATTTCAGCATCTCTGATTTCAGTGTAGGTAATCCCTTTCAGGGATGAATCAAGAGACTCGGTCGGGTCCCGCGCCAAGTACAGGCAACCCGCCGTACGGGGCACGGCCCGCCGAGACTCATAACTCGAAGCATCTCTTGTACCTGTGTTTCGACTCAAATATCTTATGAACGGCTGTATGTGAGAAAAATTTATTGATACATTCACTGTAGGAATCAAGGGTTCCGAATTGATTGCCACCAAATTCAATACCATTAGTGTACGGGATCAGGACGTATTCACATGGCGAGCGACATGATTTTATTTCAGGTCCGTCGTCGTAAATCTACAGTTAGTAGGAAATCCAGGAATTCGTGTCAGGAATTCCAAAGTACTTACTTTGAACATACTAATAGTATCCTAAAACTATATGTTTATTATTAAGCTTTTACCGTGATTATTATTAACGAGTTATCGTTAATAAGCTCTGTATAGAAAGTTGACATTGGTTTTGAGTTTAATAACTGGCATAATGGACGCAAATTTATATCAAGAAATGTACACCCGCCAAGTAGTACTCGATAAGGAATCAGCTAAAGTTTTATTAATTATTAAATAACCCTTAAATCATAATCAACTACGACAAACAGTAGTAATGTAAAAGAGTAGTGAAAACGTTATAGGAAATTTTGAAAATACAATTAAAATGATGAGCCAGTGGTAGATCATATAATAGGCAAACATGTAGTGACTTATGTACTTGGCCTCAATAATGTGATATCAATACTTTTTATTAGAGGAATACACAGCACTCCTGTACTTGGCGTAGTTTTTTACACGTAAGTGTTTTTTGGGGGATATTGTATACTATTGTCTTGTGAAATTATGGGATAGGACGTGCACGTAATGACGAATGGGTTTTATTAGGTAACTTTTCAGGAAATTTAACATTTTGTCAAAGTATTAAGAAATTTCAATAAATTATACATTTTCTTTCTTACTAAATAATCTAATATTGTAACAGTATTGTACTTGAAATTGTACACAATATGGGAAGGTATAGGAGGTTATGTTTATTCCATTTCTTGATAATAGACTTCTGGAAACTTTATACAGTGTTGTTTGTTTTCTTGCGATAAAGTAATTGTATATTTATTTATGATCCTAGTCCATCGGCATAATGCATCCTGATTGTTTAGGGTATAAACTAATTCTATGAAACGGCTAACGGTTGAATACAGACTGGAAATTATAATTTAGGTTAGGTTAGCTACTAACAAGGAAAGCCCCCCAACCCGACTCCACCGATTTCAATAATTTTTTGATATGTTGCAGTACTCGACAAAATAAGAGACACGTATTTTTTTTTTGTGCTGACATCCACTTTAAAGTGGTGAAAACGACCCCTGAAATTCACCCCCGAAAATCGTTTTTTTTATCATATCTCGACTTCTAATTAATATTTTTTAATAAAACCAAGTGGAAAATATTTGTCATAAGAAGTCGAAGATATGAGGTGTGTTTATGACCCGAGGGGTTGCAACCCTTATTTTATATTTTGAAAAAACTATATTTTTTATGCTTTTTTCTGCATAAAAACCGGGGTATGGGCTCAAAAGACAAATATTTTCCACTTGGTTTTATTAAAAAATATCAATTAGAATCTGACATATGATACAAAACAATTTTCGGGGGTAAAATTTAGGGGTGGTTTTTATCCCTTTGAAAAATCCTGAAACACCCCAACTGAAATATTTGATGGAGTTAACGGAAACGCTTTTCTTTATTTTTTTGAGCGCATACCCCGGTTTTTATGCAGAAAAAGAGCATAAAAAATATAGTTTTTTCAAAATATAAAATAAGGGTTGCAACCCCTTGGGTCATTAACAAACCTCATATCTTCGACTTCTTATGACAAATATTTTCCACTTGGTTTTATTAAAAAATATTAATTAGAAGTCGAGATATGATAAAAAAACGATTTTCGGGGGTGAATTTCAAGGGTCGTTTTCACCCCTTTAAAGTGGATGTCAGCACACAAAAAAAATACGTGTCTCTTATTTTGTCGAGTACTACAACATATCAAAAAATTATTGAAATCGGTGGGGTCGGGTTGGGGGGGTTTCCTTGTAAGTTCAGACGTATGAACTTATTGTACAATTCGAGTGCATGAAAACCATCTGAAATTATATTTAGAAGATTCGAAGTCTTTCACTCTACAAGGAGTTTGTGTTCGGTTTCTTAAATTTAGCCAAAGATCCTCATATCGCAGAGCTGAATTCGAGTTCAATTCTCTAGACGTAACGTGACATATCGACAGGACTGTAGGTTATTTTATAGGAGTACTAAGATTTATTGCTTCTGAGTTTTCCTAACTTTGCACTTTTCCTCATTGCTTTTACTTCATCCAACGGTAACATTTTGATCATCTATAGTTAGTATCTACTCCATTACTGTATCTGTGGTTTTTTCAGTTTATCTTTTTTTTTATATTAATCATTCCATTTGGATGGATTCTCACCCACTTTACTTAGAGAATAAAATTAACTTACAATTAGTATATTCGCATAGTTTTGCCGTTACCTTAAAACCGTCTGTAATCAACGTCAATTTCCTAATAATATTTTATCAAATACTCCAAACTATAGGTTAATCCGAATCGAGGAGATTCGAAAGATGACGTCAAGTCGGATATTAATTACCTAAAGAATCTTAAAGTAAATTATACTAACGAAAGTGAACATTTAAGGTGAAAAGGATACGTGGGTTATCACTTCTATAAATGATTTCCAATAAACTGCTGTATTATGTAGCCTACAATTAGTATATAAAATAATCAAAGTTCTTATACCTATTCGATTATCTATGACAAATTCGCTAATCAATTTGTTCATATAAAAATACTAAATCTCGCCACAGCAGCCGCACATTTTCCATAAAAAAAAAATATTAGCAGTCTTAAATAACAGTCTTAAATAATACCATTAACGTGTAACGCTCTAGCATTACATATAAATAATATATAAATTCCTCTGAAATAATTATTAATGAAAATAATTAATATTTCATAAACCCTATATCCGAGAAGTAAAATCGTTGCGTCAGTATACGAATACACAGTTAATAATTCAAGTATCACATTATCCGAATTGCTATCTATAAATGTTGATAACGTCATCAGTATTCCCCATTCATTTTTCTACGGTATTATAGAAAATTCATAGAAACACATTGCAATGTATCATTACGACATAAAATATTTAACAGTTATTATATTTCGTCCAATGAAAATTTGTCTAAACCAATAACATCTGTTCTATATTCTATATCTTTTTTCGCTCTCCTGTTTTAACTCCCTTTTCCTTTCAGTGTATCTCTTTCTTCCTTTCTTTCCCATTGGTCCACCAGCCTCCATTATACTCAACAATGCAAGGGATCTCGGAGGCTGGAAGTCTCAAGCGACGCAGCAGGTTCTCTCTTACTTCTCTTCAACATTTTCGTATGTATCTTTACACCAGTATATCTATACTCCAATCTCTGTAAGATTATAGACCGCGAGACGAGAGAAGTAGAGAAAGTGTGTAGACGCCAGGCGTCCCGCAGAGCAGTATGAAGTTGAGCGTCGGGGGTGGTAACGATGGTGGTTCTCGTTGGTCCAGCAGTAAACGTAGCAACACCGTCAAGATCCATGGCCTCTCCCAATCTATGCTGCTAAAGCAAAACAAAACAAAATGGGTGCAAACGCTCGGCTTAACCCAGTGAGAGGGCTCGACTACCAGAATAACTTGTTCCGCATTGCATTATTAGACGGTTATTTTCGAGCGTATCTCGAGCCCCCAATTCTTTTTTTTTTCCTATCTACGGGACATCATCACGTTAGTACGAGCGACAGAAAAAGCCAATGAACTCACATGTATAATGTCATTCACTGAAAGCTACTTACGATATTGTTGAACGAGTTGCTATACGTTGGTATATACTTTGAAGAAATTGCTTTATTACCATCTCCTTGAACAGCGTCGTTTCTTTTTTTTTCCCTTTATTAGCTATAATTACCAGGTAGCACATTGAGAGGCTTGAGATTCAACGTGAAGATAAGGGTACAGCGAAGCTTCGTTATCGATTATTCGTTACACGGGAGTGCCTATTGCCTTGCGGGCGTCTTCTTCTTCGAAAAGTTTCTTGCTGATGAAATCTACGTGTTAACTGAATCAAACGAGAATATAAAGGTAGACATTATTTGTTCAAGAGGTGCGGTTCGTGTACCCAGCCATAGTCAAAATTGTGATTTTAAAAGGAGTAGAGTCAGATTGAAGTTTTAATGGGTTATATTTACGGTTTGTGGTACCTGCATCACTTTTGATCACGCTTGTCAAAGTTTTCACTCGTTTCTGGTACCATAAGGTCCGATTCTTCTGACGCAGCTCAGCATGCAAACTTCTTTAACCACGGAGTAGAAGCACCTGAGACACCTGAAGTCAATGCTTTTCAAACAGGGAACAAAATCGCGCGACCGATCCCGGGTTATTTTTCAAAATGCAAGTATCTCGTTAGTTAAACGCACAGTTAAACCGAGTTTCAAAAGTTGACTGTACCGGTAGAATCAAGCCTTAATTAATTAAATTGTTCAATGAACTTTCATAGAGTTGGCAGCAAATTTTTTCAAAACCTCAAAAAATCGATATAGAAAAGTTTTTCATACGAGGGAACACACCCCTCTATTATGTCAGACACCACCTTCGAGACATAATAACGTTTTCCGGGCTTCAAAGGGTTAATCGAAGGAGATTTTGAAGAAAACTTTTGAATGCATAATTATTAAAAAATTAATTTTCGTCGATTAAAGCACCTCTGTACCATTTGTCGCCATCGCTTTCATTTGTACGTAATTAATAGGTCTAAGCACGCTTCAATTTGACGGCCACGTAAGATACTGAGGTAACCAACAATGGTACATCTAACCTAGTCCAAGTACCTACAGGCTACTGTTCACCCATGACATATTCTTTCCGCGCCCTTGCCATACAAATAACTACTAAAGATCTGACCACACCCACGTCAACGACGTTCTACGGGCGTTAAGCCAGTTACACAGCTACTTACCGACACCAGACCGAACTCTTCTTTACCGCTCGTTCAACTTCTTTATATTCTGTTTCTTCCCGTTTCCGCATACGACGTATTTCGTCGAGTGTAATCCTTTTTCTTCGATAGATCAGAATTCCGCAACATGGTCGGTGCTCTTAGTTCGCGATACACCCAGCAGGGTTAACCGCGTGTGTGATTTCTGCATTTAATAAATCAAAGGCGGGCACGAAGCCGAGACTCGAACCCGGAAATCATCCTAAGCTCTGCCATGCTCGCGAGCTCGTGACGTCACGGACTGGTTCTGTGCACTATGTTTCAACCGTCGAACCAGGAAACGACTTGCAGCTGTGTCTGCAACCGCAATTGCAATTGCAACGCTAGATCGGAGTCAATACATTCGCTGGATTGAGAACGAAAGCAAGAAGTCCGTGTATAGCCGCGGAATCGAGTGACTGTCTAATGATAATTATCGATCGATTGATAAGACCATCGCAACTTTCTCATTAGCTGCTGGTGACGCTTCCTGTGTACTGCCGTCGTAGGATAACATTTAAACGTGCTTCGTTGTCTCGCAGGATCGTAAGAAAGAGAAAAAACAGCACTTGGGAACAGCTGAAAGAGTGTAACTAGCCTAATCGGTCTACGGACCAGTCGCTTCGTCCAGAGAATCTATGAACAAGAGAGTGTCGGACAGGGATGCTGGTTGGCTGGGAAGAAGTGGGGGGAATCCCTAGAACGACAGACTGTGGAGTGGCGAAGTCCTACAGTGGTATACATAGAGTTGTAGACAGAGATATCGACATTACGTAACGCCGTGCTTCTAACCATAGATATATATTACGAGTTAATTACGCGGGTTGCGATCTGAGATCAATGCACTAGTGCATAACTAAACACGTCGAGAGACTTTGATTTTACGTTATATATTATGTGTATATAGTATATGCATATGTAATTACATATATATATATGAAATTTTGATTTGATTATCATTGTGATTTGAAAATAACTTTGCTCTTACCAAGTTGTCATTCACTGATGAACAAGTGAATTGCTTGAGATTTCTTTGTAATCAAATATTTCAAATATCCCCACATTGAGGTACTACGGCATACGTACTGGCTGATTTAAATTCTCAATCTACCCCCTCAGTGTAATTATACTTACCTTCTTAGACGGTTGCGTGCACGTATATTACACTTGATTGCGCAAGTTAAAGCTCTGTATGTATTCGTTTTGCAGATGAGAGATTGAGTTTGCGGTAATTTTATTATTATTAATGATACAATTCAGCTGGTTCTTTCTTTGGGTATAATTATTCATCTTTGAGGTTCTTCAATGGGCAGAGTACAGATTGAAATCATAATGGAAAGAATGACAGCAGCGTGGAATAAATTTTTCTCTACTATTGTGATATAATGACTGTAAAAAATGAAATTGTCAATCCATTTAGTCGTGTAAAAGTTTCCACTGTCGAAACTTATAATGGAATTGTGAAAGAGTCCAGTCCTTAGAGATATATCAAACGCGAAGAATACTTTTGGAGTTCTCAAATTATTTTGTATAATTAAACGTACTGTAGATCTGATTATGAAATTTTCTTTAAACTCCACGTGTCTGTGAAAATTTATATACTGTTCGATTGACCTTTTTAGAACTCGATTATATCGATATATTTCATTCGGAATATATATACAGTGCAGTCCGTTTATAACGACGTTCAAGGGACAAGGAAATGACGTACTAGACCAACGACTTAACAAGCAAAATGAGAATACATAGGAACGTCCTTATATTCTAACCAAACTTGGACAAGGGGGATGTAACGTGCGGTCGATCGTTGCAAGCGAAGTAGTAATAACTGGACTCCGCTGTAGTATATATAATTAACTAATTAAGTAGCATATATATATATATAATAGTTCGCCACTGAGATTGATATATTAACCCTTTACACGTCGATAGAAATTCCCATCACGAATTTACTATTTTTTTATGTATCTCGAAAAAGTCAACTAGATCTGGTTTGTCTCTGATGACAAATATTTTTCTTTTAAACTTCATCATTTCCAGTGGACTGGGAACATTTCGAACTTTAGAGAAGACCGATTGAAAATTCAAATTTATCAAGTTGAATTCGATATGTAAACTGTTGAAAATCACTGATGCGATTTTGCACTAGTTTGTAAATTTAGGGGTCTGGAAATAAATATGTAAAGGAAGGGTTGAGTCGTGTTTACCACGTACTTAACATATCCAATAATAAACATACATTTTTTAGGTACCAAAACATAATCTTACATGGTCGTATCTTATATAACGTGACCGCAACGTCAGTTTTACATTCAGATAACGTTTCTGTACTATAACCTATCAGCAGATGATACCCGACGGTAGAATTCATTTTCACAGCCCATAGATTAATTTATCTATACTATAAAGACAATATCAATCCGATTAGTTTGATATTTAAGTAGAAAATTAATCACCCTATATATTAAAGACTAAAGAATAAATATTGAAATAAATAATTTTTATAACGTGAATCGTTGATATTTTTTTTATACTACTTTTGTACGTATTATATATTTGTATAGCTATTCTATAAATAATAGGGAAAAAGTGTCTGAGACGGTATTGGAAACAACACGGAAAAATATACGCAGTCTTGGATATATTTCCTCTATATATCACGCATAGTCTATTTTCTTTTCTTTTTAGGGGGGAATGCACAAAGTAGGTTCGTGCACTTGAGACATATGGAATTTATTCGTTGCTATAATTTATGACGGCAATCTTGTCTGGAAATAGTTGATGTATCCCGAAAAAAAAAAAACCGTATTTTGTTGTCCTCATAAAACACACGCAATGTTTAAGGAATCAGAATGCGAAATGCTAAATCTGATATGAGTTCGAATATATCGCGTGGGATTATTTATTGTCGTCTTTAAGTCACGAGAATCTCCGGTTTGCCCTTTCGCAGATCTGCGCAGCGTACGAACAATTGTAAAAGGCCTGAACGACTGAAAGGCGTTACTTACATATATAGCACGTAAGATGAAATCACAGGAGATCACTTTCTAAATATTCTTTTATTCGTGCTTGTATGTCCTTTATTATTATCCACTGCAGCAATGCCCTTTCGAATATTCATAAAGGGTAGATTTTTACAAAATTAACCATCGCGTTTCTGTTACTTTTTGAAAATTTCTCTAAACGTTTCAACAGTACTTTGTAATAATTTTCACGAAATCGTAAGGTGTTTAAAAAATCAGTTCATGACTATTGATACATATGTACATATGGTATACTGGAAATTTTTTATTTTCCTATCACATTACATATATATTCTTCGAAAATTCCACTCTCAAGTTGAATTTTGAAAATGAACAAATTTTATCAACTTTAGAGACTTTTCGCATTAATTATTATTAGTTAACGAATTAATGACTTATAATCGATAAAAAGTATCGGCAGACTGCTGCATGTGTTTTATATATTTAAATTCGTTTAAAACTTAAGAAATTTCATGAAATTTCAATATATCTTTCACTCATAATTCAAAACAGTCTACCGTTCGATACTGACTGTTTTATGATTCGTCGAATGGTTACGTCGTGGTAGCAGCTGTGCTCAGACTTTTTGGAAAAGGTTCTGGCTTAAGTCATCTATAGTTGCCGTCTTATGGCTTCCGCGTGTGCATTAGAAAGCGTCCCACATAATCTCTATAAAAATTTCAAAAGTTCTATCTTCGGTGCATGCTTTAGTGTGTAAACGATACACGTGTTAATGCACATCATGATTGTGATAAGTTCATGTGCATCGTACGTATAATCTAAGCTACTAACGCTACAGTGTGTATACGTATATATGTATCCTATATATATATTAATTCTCAATCGGATTATAAACGCAGCTGAACCCTGCGACCTTCTACAGAGTAGAAAGTTCCTTTACCATAATCGATTGCAGTCGGAAGTCCCACAGTCACGATTAGAATTGTCTTCTTATTTTGTACGATATAAATCATCATTAAAAATTAATGGTATCGATATCGAATTATTATTGACTTTAGTTGTCGTGAAAATGATTGTTTCCGTGAAATGCAAAATTTTGCGCTCCACTAATAATAAAAAGAAATAAAAATTTATTTCATAGATCATTTTGAATTATTATCATTAGTATGGATATTAGTGTAATTTTTATTTATTCACATTGTTGGTGAAAGCCTATGTTGATTCATAAAATCTAATTAGAAATTCGTTTTGCTGCCAACAGCCGTTTTGATACGTTAAATAAGGTTACAGCGTGGACACTATAGTCATGTAATCAGTCTCTTCGTATACTGAAAATTAGATAACTGCGAAATGTGTAAGTAAATGTAAATGAAATGTTCTGAATAATTTGCAAGGATTATAAGATTTATTATAAAGCTCGTTAAAATTATTTAAAATTTCGTTAACCTCGATTCTCATATTTATATATTTCAAAGAATACCAATTACAATTACCTGCGATTGATGTAAGTTAGAACAAAGTGAAACTACAATATGTTTGCTCTTTCAATTATTCTTTCCTCTTCTAAATTTTGATCCGTTTGCCGTTAAATTGACGAAATGAAAATGCCAGGTCGGACAAAAGTATTTTATGAAATTTAATTAAAAATGACAATGAACGAGTATTTAAATTTTAATACAAAAATTTCTACCAATAACTTAATATCCGCGTTTTTTTTATTTTTATTTTCTCATCCGATACAATATAAAGGAATTAATTGTAAATGGCACAGGAGTTCTGTCATTTCATCGATATTCATTCTCATCGACTTGTACTTTATGGTTGTTGGAATTGCGCGTGTGCATATATGTATTCGGAAGCTTGGACCCGGAATATACCTAGATGCGTGGACTCGCCTCACGTTTACTGCGTTTGGACGGCGTGTCGGTGTGCGTTGTAATTCGCAATTTGCCAGAGCATTCACCTTCGAATTACCGTTAGCTCGTGCCGCCATCTTACTTACTCAGACTTGAATCTAATAACGAAGAGTCAGTTGCTACAGAGATTCTTTATAAACGAGGTAACCTTCCTACTTTTGATTTGGAGTCTGGCTGTGGAAAAACATGAGAAATTTCATTACAAAGTTTTACCTGATTAATCTTATGCAATCATGTATTTCATCTCAATTAAACGTAACACAGCAAATCAATAGTCATCGAAACGCCAAGGAAGTTTCTAGAAATATCAGTCGATGACTCAACAGAGAAGATGGGATCATCGATGAAATTGAAATCAGAACGACAAAGTGATGATATCGTAATTAAATTAATCAACAGAAAGTCATCGACATTTTTTTATAAGTAAGTCGAGGTATTTTTATTAAAAAAAAATTTTAAGTGCATATAGCATTGATATGTGATAAATGAAGATGCCGTGTAATGGCTGGAATCATACAATAAGAATATTTGTAAATTTTTTGTAATACATCTAGAATTTCTATTAAAGATAAAAATACGTAACGCAACGTAGAAACATTTATGAAAAAATACTTGTAACCCGTCAGAAGTTCATCTTGAATTTACTGTATTTAGGTGGGTTGAGTAAATTTTTAGAAAAAAAAAAAATGTCAAAGAAAAACTATGAAACAGGTAAACTTTCAAAGAAACCTTGAATCCCGTTTCACGCAATCTTAACAAGCACTGTAATATATTTAAAAAAATCACATAACGTATCCATGTACCCATATGGCTAATTATAAATATTTTCTCTGTTTACTAACTACTATAAGAAAAATTCCAGATTAATTATCTCTCCTCGTGCATCCCTTCCTCGTAACGTAAATTTTTCAAAGGCAAACAACTTTTTCTATCGAATAAAAATGCAAAGACCCGTGTGAAAGAACATGAAGATATTCCCTACCGTGCTACGTAAATATACACATGGATTTTCCCTTAGGCTTGAATACACATAATCGCGTAGGAATGAATTACAGGCTAAACATAAGATGAAATAAAAAGTAAATATTCAAAAAAAAAGTATGCTGGTCGTACACGCAAGTATACATAAGCACTGCAGTACGGAATTTTTCTTCGTGCTTTTCCCGACACCTTAGTTGCAAGAAACAGCCGCACGCTGGCAGCACAGTCTGTAACGGCTATATACATAGGTATACCAAAAATAAGAGCATTAACAATGGCGATAATAATAACTGTTCCCGCTGTGAACCAACAGGGTATCGTAAAGGGTCTTCCGTTTAAAGATGCCATTGTTCCCTGGTATTTACCAGTTTCCCGCTTTTCCGTTAATGAGAACAATTAGCTGGGCTTCGGGTTGTTGTACCTCTGCACTGTATCGCTCCCTCGTCAATGACACCATGAATAATTCACGAGGCTGCCATAGCTGACGCTCCGTGTTCTCCTACGAAAAAAAGTATGAGTTTGTTGGAAAAAGAGGAAAGAAAAAGTTTTACCTTTACTTCGCTCAATTACCAACCATATACTAACCTGAATCGTCCACCAGTGCCACCGCTATAAAGAAAAACGATGACTATGTTAATACGAATTCATATAGTACGTATAAGCGTATACCTGATTTACTCTTTGTAACATAACCTCAACACGTGTATCTAAACTATACCTAAATATAGTAGCAGCATACGAATATATGAATCTCGTAGACTTCCTAATTGGTTTGCTCGCAATTAGTCAATTAATTTACGTAATGAAATAGTTGCATAACTCTCTCGAGCGTGTCAATGAACTTGGCTTGGGATATTCTCACGTGGCGTACGTAAACACAAACTACGGAAGTTGGTAGCTAAACCGCACGGCCTTACGTGGTTGACCTAAGAATGATTTTGTTTGAAAAATTAATTTTCAAAATTTGTATATTTTTTATAACCATTGCCATTGGTCGACTGACGACGCACTGATTCAGGTAATTTTAAATGCAACAATGTTAACGATACTCATGTCCCAGAATTGCTTGCGCGGACGAACATCGAGCGTTTCGAAAATTTTTTTTAATTTCCAAAAATCATTGGGGAGTTCGATATAATCATGAATCTCATTAGAAAAAGTTTTTTAACAATTTGTTGCTACTTGACTAATGATTCGAACAGATTTATTTGTAATGCTAACATATATACATATGTATATTAGATATACATATGATCGGTATAATTGAATACGATGATACGAATTGATCGTATATCGATTTATTTTTAAATTGTTAGTAGAGGGGGAGGCGAGGTTCGGACCAATCGGGGATGGAGGTAGAAGGGACTAAGGGTGGGAAATACAAGGTCGACGGCCTGCAGCTCCAGCCAGGATGAAGGAAAAACACAGGCAGAGTGATGCGAATCCTCTACACTTTGTTCTTTTATTTTAATTCTCTTCCGTTCCATTTTTTGTTCATTCCTTTTATTTTTATTTCCCATTTGACGCTCTGCTTTACGTTTTACGACATCCCAGCCGGTGTTTTCTGCACTTTCGTGGTAGACTG